ACAGTCAGGGGGATCGTTTTTGCACGTGGGAAAAGCAGAGGGGGGGGCGAGGACGGGACCTTCGCCCCCCCCCTTCCACACAGTTCACCCCACCCGGATCTACCCCTCCCCAAATCCCACCTCTCCTCCTGAGACCCGGGTTACCTCAGCAGCCCGACGGCGACTGCGCGGCCTTCCTCCGTCTGGCCCCGCCTCCCGCATTCCGCTTCCAGGTCGCCGCGGGAAAGGCGGCGGCGGCGGCGGCGTCCACGAGCGGAACGGGGACGGAGGGCGCATGCGCGCTCGAGTCCCGGAGGCTTTCCAGTCGCAGACGTCCTCCCCCTTGCTGCGGAGTGCGCATGCGCGCTCGAGTCCCAGAGGCCTTCCAGTCGGAGACGCCTCCCTGCTGCTGCGGAAACGCCTCTTGCTTCCCCTCTTCCTCCTCCTCGCGAGGGGCCGCACCACAACCCGCGCATGCGCGACGTGCCGAATTCCCGAAACACTCTCCGCGTGCGCAGGTCTCTCCTGCGCAGGCGCGGGCTTTAAAGCTTTCTCCGGCTCTGCTTCACGGAGCTTTTGGGGCGGAAAACGAGTCTCGGGCGGTGCAACCTGGACGCTTGACGGAGGTCCAGAATTAATCCGCTTTCTGGGCCCCAGCAACTCATGCCCTCTCTCCCGCGAGCTGATTAAACTGGCTGGCTTTGCACGATGCGTATCTGAGATCATCAATGCTTATCCAAGACTTGCTGGTTGTGGAAGTTGTGACTAGAATAGAACAGAACAGGAATGGAATAGGCATGCAATAGGATAGAATAGGAATAATAGAACAGAACAGAATATAATAGTAGAACAGAACAGAATAGAGAAATCAGGACAGGACAGGAAAGGGAAGAATGAGGATAGAATAGAATAATAGAATGGAATTGAATAGGAATACAATAGGACAAAATAGGGATAATAGAACAGAACAAAATAATCAGAATACAATAGAATAACAGAGTTGGAAGGGACCTTGGAGGTCTTCTAGTCTACCGCCCAAAAGCAGGAAACCCACCTACACCATTTCTGACAGATGGCAGTCCAGACTCTTCTTGAAAGCCTCCAGGGATGAAGCTCCCACAACTTCCGAAGGCGACTTCTGTTCCATGGGTTGATTGCTCTTACCGTCAGAAAATTTCTCCTTATTTCCAGGTTGAATCTCTCCTTGTTCAGTTTCCATTCATTATTCCTTGTCTGGCCTTCAGGTGCTTTGGAAAATAGCTTGACCTCCCCTCCTCCTCTCTGTGGCAGCCCCTCAAATATTGGAAGACTGCTATCCTGTCTCCCCTGGTCCTTCCCTAGACTAGCCATGCCCAGTTCCAGGAGATTGGCCTGGTTTTATTAAAGTAGAACATGACTCTGATCAAGAGGGAATTGATGTGGAATTGTTTTGGATCCAGTAGTTAAATTACTGCACCACTGAGACATCCCCTGCACATTCAGAGACCTAATCCTTAGTGGATTTACCCACCAATGTGATTTTCACAAGACATTTACCAGGAAATGTACATAAAGCTGTCTATGGAGAGCCCTCCTAAACATACTTGTGCACTCCAAATCTCCTGCAATGTCTCCATTTTGCTCTCTGAATTCATGGAGGCATAACCCAACTCAAATTGGGTTTGTCCCCAATGGGATTTCCCCATGTATTTTACTAGTAAACCAATGTTTACCAGGAAACATCGATGAGCCTCGATGGCGCAGTGGTTAGAGCGCAGTACTGCAGGCCACTTCTGCTGACTTATCGGCTGCCTGCAATTTGGCAGTTCGAATCCCAACAGGCTCAAGGTTGACTCAGCCTTCCATCCTTCCGAGGTGGGTAAAATGAGGACTCAGATTGTTGGGGGCAATTTGCCGACTCTGTAAAACCGCTTAGAGAGGCTGTAAAGCACTAAAGCGGTATATAAGTGCTACTGCTATTGCTATAAGGCAGGCTTGAAAAGTCAGCATCCTCCTGAGCAGTGGTTCTTAACCTGGGCGATATCGCCCCCCCAGGGGAGCAATTTCATTTTTCATGGAGGCAATGGAACGAAAAGGGGCGACATGGGGGCGAAGGAACTGAAGTGGGGTGATATAGGGGCAATGGAGCGAGAAATTTTGGAGGCATGAGACTTTTCGTACACTGAACAGCTGTATATCTGTCGTACAAAAACATCAGATCACTCACTATTAGTGGATTGAACTGTTTTAAAATGTTCTGCAAAAATTTTCTTTGTGTCTTTTTAACCCTTTTTACAATGTGCAATGAATATATATTTTCCTCGAATCTTAATTTAGTTTCAGAGTTTTTGTCTTGAAATTCCTGCATTGCGGTTTGTTCTTATGCCCTTTTTATATTTCTTTTTGCGTCTTAAACTTCACTTGTAATTAAATCATTAAATGTTACTGGGTTTTTTTCGGGCATTTCATTTTCTTGCAATTGCATTTTGTTTTCAGTGGTCATTGCATTTAAGCGTCTTGAATAAATAAGATAATAATGAAACACTTGTATCACGAAGTTTGGGAGTAAAGTGATGGGTGGCATCAGAATTTTTCACACAGTTGAGATATGGGAAAAAGACTGGAAATAAATTATTTGCATTGGTATGTCCTGATGACAATTTTAAAGAAAACAAAAAACGTGTTTGCATAAATTGAATAATTATTTCCCTGTGTTGTGATTGAGAGGTTATGTTGGGGGATGGGGGTGGCGATGATAACGTCCTCAATGGCTCAAGGGAGCGATTCTTTCAAAACGGTTAAGAACCACTGCTCCTGAGCATATCTATGCACTCTGAATCCATTGGCGATGTCTCCAAATTCACAGAGACCTAACTCTAATCCTAAGTGAATTTGTCTCCCGATGGGACCCTTGCAGGGTGATGCAGTCCGTGCCCTGTCTGGCATTGGGAGGGGCAGCTGACTGGATGAGGAACTGCCTGCAGGACAGGATGAGCTGCCGAGGGCCACAGTGATGACAAACTACAGATCTCTGAAGGAACACCTGCCTCCGTAGGTCGATTTGTGGGCACGGAAAACCGAGCGGAGATAGGAAAACCGAGCGAAGATAGGTCGGCGAGATTGTTTGCAAGGAAGCAGCCCTGGCCCTTTTCACAAGGAACACCTGGGGAAACGTGATTTAGCCAGACCGTTTGTTGGGAACATCTGTTTGCTTTGGCGTGTACCTTCCTGGCTCCTGTGGATGCTGCCGCGTGAACCTTTGATTGTGTTTTTCAGCTCTGAACCTTGGATTTTGCTTGTGGACTACGGACTTGGCTCTCTTCCGAATCTTGGATTGTGGTTTGAATTTTGAAACCCTGCACTTGTGTTGCGGACTGAGTGTTTGGGGGCATTGTGACTTCCCTCTTTGTCTCGTGGCCCAGCTAGTTTGAGGAACCAGGGAACCCAGACGGAGGGGAACTCAGAGTGAATTCAGAGTGAAACTTAACCAGTATTATTGGTGAGCATTTGGTGCTGTGTTAGCGTGCGATAAACTGTCTTTACTTGACATCTACCTAGCCTGCATGACTCTGGTCAGAATAACATTGTCAGTGTGTTGTTTTGGTGTCAAGTACAAGAGTTTAACTTTCCAGAAATGCCAGAGGCAAGAGTTTTGCAAAAAAATTCTGTGTGGGTTTTTTTAAAAAATAGTTTTCTACTTATTATTGCTTCATTTATAGTAGTATCCACCTCTTGGTAAATAGGCAGTAAAATTTGAACCTTTTCAGTTACTGAAACTTGAAAATTTGAACCTTTTTAAGTTACTGAAACTTCCCCAGTTATACCCAAAGGTGCTTTTTCAGGAGGCAACAGGATTTTCTTGTTTTTTTCTTTTGAAGGCGTTTCGCTTCTCATCTAAGAAGCTTCTTCAGCTCTGACAGGATAGTGGGGAATGGAAGAGCTGAAGAAGTTTCTTAGATGAGAAGTGAAATGTCTTCAAAGAAAAAACAAGAAAGACCAGTTGCCTCCTGAAAAAGCACCTTTGGTACAACCATGACCTGGTGACGGAGAATCCCTACAGACTTCCTCAGTTATAATTACACAGCATTCAAGTGATTACAACTAACTGTCTCTGTTTGTAGAATGAATAAACCAGTAATAATAAAAGGCTTTAGCTACAAAATAAGTGCCACTTTAAGGAACATCTATTCCCACCCCCTCCAATTCCAGTTTCTATTGCAGGATGATGTCTCACTGGGATTAGTTTACAAGAGACATTGTCAAATACATTTTGGAGCAATCAGTTTGACTATGTATGACTGCTGAGCATCTATTGCTATTTAAATCAATTTCCTCCTTCGAATGAAAGGATAAAGCTGCTCTGTGCCGCACACCCATTTATTGCATCACAAAGGTTGGAGAAAATAAATTTAGTACTTGGAATAAATCTACTGTATTTCACAATAGCATCCCAAGAAGAAATGCCAGGGGATCAATAAAAATTTTGTGTGCGTGCACGCGTGCGCGTATCTATATCCATCCTTTGGTAAGAAAGCTGCACTCTTGATCCCCTTAGCAAAGCAACAGGAAAATTTATTTTTTCCACTTGGTTTTAAATAAATGCATGTTGCAAGTTTGAAGAGGAACAGAAACTACCTTCAAAATCTACCATTTATCCAACATGGAAGTCTGTTCTCCCCTTGGTATGTTTCCTGCAGCACAAGCCACAATAAAAAGAGAGGAAAGAAAGAAAGGAAGGAAGGAAGGAAGGAAGGAAGGAAGGAAGAAGAAAAAGAAGAAAGAAGAAAGAAAGAAAGAAAGAAAGAAAGAAAGAAAGAAAGAAAGAAAGAAAGAAAGAAAGAAAGAAAGAAAAGATAAGATTTGAAGCTGCAGCATAGCAACCTGTCCAGAACGGAAAGAGGTTAGAGCTTATTTTTCAACACTTATATCTCCTTGTAGCAACGGAATTAGGACAAGCCTAAGAAACAAGTTTTGGCTTGTTCTGCATTCACCTCCTTCTCATACCCATCGTTCATCAACACACTGAAAGCCACCACACGTTAAACCATCTCTGAGTCTTTTTATTGGTTTTGAGGAGAAAAGGAAGGTGAATCCCTGTTTCATAAAGACACAACACAATCAAAGACACAAATGGCTCAGACTGTGTGTTTTTCAAACTCCTCTGATTTCATGAGGCTTATGGGGCCTCCAAGGAAGTTTCCCTCATCCTCGTTAGGACCGAATATTTGGGCAGTGCAGATGGTTATGTAAACACGGGGGTATTTGAACAATACCAACCACCTAATTCTTAATAATTTAACTGCGTTCTGCACAGCTTCACAGTTTCACTGTCTTCTCTGTCATACAACGGTCAGGAAAGAATGGCTGGTAATCGAGTCTTGGTTCCGAGGCTGCGTGTTTATTTTAATTCTCCCTTTCCAGCTGCGCATTTTCTTCTTTCACAGGCAACTTTAGGAAAATAATAATAATAACGCCGAAAGAAATGTAAGCAACTGAAATGTACACGAGAGATAGACTCTGGCAATGGTTATGTGCTCAGCAACTTTGTTTCCGCTGCTGAAAAACTGTCCACAATTGGGGAAGTGGGGGGAGAATCAATTGGGGGAGAGGTCTAGAAGAGGCTTAGTGTCCATTTTTGTGCACCGGGTCCAGAAGAACGGTGGCGTCCTGTAAGGTCTTGCCTGGGTTTCATTTAGATCTGATGCTCTGCAAAGCCTCAGCATGTAAGGTAGAACTTCAAGGGTGTACAAATATACTTTGTCAAAGAGCTCTTGGGCGCCTTCGCTATTCGGGATGAAGATTTCAAACGTCCCTTGTGCCGCATATTTTTCGTTCTTTGCTGCAAACCAAGGTCATGGCTTTTCAATGTGCAGGTCACCGACGCCGTTGGTGTTGCTGGTGGCCGTAATGATGTATTGTGTCGTTTGCTGCTCGCTGGCCGCTTGCGAGTCCAAAGAGTCGGCATGGACAGGTGGCTGAGACAAATCTACTTCCATGCCGCTCGAAAGAGACAGGTTTGGCTTGACTTCCAGCTCGGGCTGACTTTCAGCGATCACATAATGTGTCTGGGGGGGAAAGAAACCCACATAAATTCACTCTCATTATACACATGTATGTGATGACCCAAAGGGGCATGGCACAAAGGCAACACAGTCAGATAATCAATAAGAGTCCCTTTAATAGCTCCAACTTTGCCCCCAATGTCCTGGTTACCTTCTGGCTGGAGAAAAACTCTCCCAGGAGCAGCCTTTGACTGCAGAGAATCAAATCCAAAACGTGGTCAACAAAAACTGTAACTTTAAGTCCAATCAAGCCAAACTGAGGTAATTTGTCTGGCAGGGCAGGAGCAAGACTTCCCGACGTGAAGGCACGACAAAATTCACATGGTTGGGAAGACACCAGGAACACAGATAAGCAAAGACAACACAGGATAAAGTCACGTTTGCTCCCAGCAGCTGCCGCAGTCCACATTCAGTTCTTATAAACTTTAATTCCCAGGTGTGGCTAATGAAGGGAATCAGGGCCCTTTCCTCCCCCGTAAGCCATGCAACCCACATTGCTCCCTTCTCCGTTCCTCTCTGCGTGCCCTAGGATGAAGAGGGGGTGGGCCTGGGTCTTCCTCTGAAATCCTCCCTTGTTCTATCTCTCTCCTGCTCTGCCTACCGGGACTTTGCCCTTCCCCAGTTTCCTCCACAGCCAACGGAGCCCCCTGTCAGCTGTTCATCTTCCTCCCGATTCTGACTCTGAAAGGGGCATGACAATGTATTTCCTTTCCTTAAAAAAGCCTTCAGTTAGTACAGGTAATTAGTTTAGTGACTATTTGAAGTTAAACAGCAGCACTGAAAAAAGTGACTTATGACCGTTTTTCATTGCACCATCCCCAGGATCATGTGATAAAAATTTGGACACTTGGCAACTGACTCATATTTACGACGGTTGCCATGGTGTTCCCCGGGTCATGTGATCCCCCTTTTGCGACCTGTCAAGCAAAATCAATGGGGAAGCCAGATTCACTTAGCAACCGTATTATTAACTTAACAACTGCAGTGATTCACTTAACAACTAGGGCAAGAAAGGTTGTAAAGTGGGGCAAAATTTACCTAACGATTATTCTCACTTAGCAGCAGAACTTTTGGGCTCAACTTTTGTGGTTGTAAGTCGAGGCCAATCTGTATGGCATGATAATGAACATACTCATTTATCAATTATTGCTCCAAATAATATATGAGTATTTCCAAGCTGCCCAGAGTTGCTGACAGTGGCACATAAATTTAACCCACAAAAGAAAATATTGGCAACATGTCTTCTGCTCCAAGAGATGCATATTTTCCTCAGAGATGGTCAAAGAATTTATTTCAAAGCGCCTGATTTATTGAATTAGAATAGAATAACAGAACTGGAAGGGACCTTGGAGATCCTCTAGTCCCACCCCTTGCTCAAGCAGGAGACCCTACACCATTTCAAACAAATGGTAGTCCAATCTCTTCTTAAAAGTTTCCAGTGTTGGAGCATTTAAAACTTCTGAAGGCAAGTTGTTCCACTGATTAACTGTTCTGTCAGGAAATTTCTCGTTGGTTCTAGGTTGGAGAAATTTCCTGACAGAACAATTAATCAGTGGAACTGTCAGCAACTCCGGGCAGCTTGAAAATACTCATATGCCAAACAAAAAGAAAAAAAAAACATTTAAAAATAATGAACGTGGTGCATACATCCCAACATACCGACTTACCTTACATCATCAAGTGACAAATATAAAGAGTAATACAAATTTACATACATATATATATATAAACCTTAGTCATCTTTAATACACTAATTCCTTTCTTTTTTTTTTTCAACCAGTGGTAAAACTTCTCCCAAATTTGGTAATAAGCAGATTCAGCCTTATTTTTTAATTCTTGAGTTAATTTGTCCATTTCTGCGCAGCATCCAAATTTTCCTGATTATTTCCATCTCGTCTGGCATTTCATTACCTTTCCATCTTTGGGCAAAGGCTAACCTTGCAGCAGTGGTGACATGGACTATTAGATGTGTTACACCTTTACTATAATCTCCCATGCCTATAATATGCCTATTTCCGAATAGGCCTATTCAAAAGCCTTGACGTATTTAATCATCTCAGACACGGTTGTGCTTTTGCGTCTTACCTGGGCAACTGCTTTGACTTGCCCTGTGGTCACCGTTGTGACAGGAGGACCGACAGCTGTCTCTGCAATCACATACTGGCCCTGAGGGATTGTCATCATCTGAATCTCGGAGGCTGGGGGAGAAAAGATGAGAGAATCCCGTTCATTATCTCTAACAAGACATGATTGACATGCTAAAGCAGGGGCGTCCAACCTTGGCAACTTTAAGACCTGTAGTAGACTTCAACTCCCAGAATAGAGAGTTGAATAGGTATGTACCCTCATCCTCTTTTAATGACCCCATAATGCCTTGCGAGGTGAAGTCTGGGCAACTGAGTGGAGCTGAGGGTTTCCTGGCCGGATGCCCTTCTTGTCACCAATGCGGAGGGTTGTTTTTTTTGCAGCAGATATATTCTCCGTGTGCCCAGAGAGAGAAATATTTGCCTCTGCCTAGGATCGAACTCACAGCCTCCTGATTGTGAGGCGAGAGCTCCACCCTTAGGCCATCATATCTCTCCAAATATTGCCCCGTGAATCAGATGAGTGAAAATGCAAGTGAAAATGCCCAAAGCTGGGAAAAGGAAATGTTGCATCAAATATCAAGGAAACTGAGAGGTTTTGTTTCTCTCCGGATGACTTCAACAATACTTCAATCAAATCGTAGCTCAGAAATTAAGAGCGAGGTGTAAGTGGTTTTTACAGGGAAGCGAAAGAGCATCGCTGAGCATATTTGGTACATACGGTAAGTGCGGAACGAGTTCCAGGTGTTGGGAAGATAGGCTTGCTGGACTGAAGAACCTGCCTGTGATTGATTTTGCGAGGGGGGGGTTGTCTGTATCTGGGAAGGGCTGAGTTCCTGCTGAGTTGGTTGGGAAGGACTTAAGGGCTGGCTGCCAACCTGGAGTAACAAAGGAAAAAAAATTCCAGGAACGGAAGAACTAAAGTTACTTGTTACTTGGGTCTAAAATTCCCATCTCTCACTCACACACAGAGCTTTTCAATCAGTAAACAGTAACGTCCTAATTCATTCATTTATAGCGTTTTATTTCATCCTATTCTGTTGAAAAGGATGATTGAAAAATAAAACTACAAAGCCCCAAACAACCTTTTCATTTCTAATCAAGATAACTCCAAGTGACCAAAGCCTTGCAGTGCAACAAGAACATCCATATAGTTGGCTAGAATATTTCTAAGTAAACGATTTGGAACTGAGGGTCAAGGTTCTGCATTTACTGAAATTCAAAAACAGCATTGTATCATCACGTTGAGCCGCGGTGGCAGTGGTTAGAATGCCGTATTGCAGGCTATTTCTGCCGACTGCCAACAGTTCAATCCTGATCAGCTCCAGGTTGACTCAGCCTTCCATCCTTCTGTGGTCGATAAAATGAGGATCCAGATTGTTGGGGGCAATAGGCTGACTTTGTGAACCACATAGAGAGAGGCTGTAAGGCCTTGCTATCTCCAAAGTAAAATGTTGCGCACAGCACTTTGGGCTTTTGCACTGGCAGCAGTAGCAATAGCACTTAGACTCATATCCTGCTTCACAGCGCTTTACAGCCGTCTCTAAGTGGTTTACCTTTAGGGACCACCTTATCTGCTGCCTTGAGATGTCCTTGCATCTTAGAACAGCATGCACACATGATACACAACTGCATGACCTACCTGTGAAGATGATGGGGCTGCAGAGGTTGGTTCGGTGACCTGGATATGCTGTACCTGGATAGCATGCTGGGTGTATGACTGAGGGTCATGTAGCTGGCCAACATCTACAGTGGAATGCTGGGTCTGGTGAGGTGAGGTAGCCTGGGGAATCAGGAAAAAACATGTCCGTATATATATAGTTTTATATACATATATACAAAGTCAAAGAAGACCACCACGTTCAATGTTTTTAATGTTTATACTCAATTAAAAAAAAAATTAAAGGAGAAAACATGTTACGTCCAAGTTGACTTTAGAATTGTGGTTTCAGTGGTACAAGTCTTAAAAGTCAACCCGTGTAATTCTTTCTGCAAAAGTTCTCTTCGTTGCCCAAAGGGTCAAGAATCAGTTTGGTGCCAACACCTGCTTTCCAAGGGTAACCACATGACAGAGATAAACCACCACTCAATGACAGGGAACAGTTTTACATCCTCAAAGGCTTGTCTTCAACTTTTGGCACCTCTTGGATAAGAAGCATGGGACGTTACAGGAGAACAAACCCATCAGGACAAGATTCAGCAGTCCATCTGTGTGTAAGAGATAAAGGACCTTTATCTCTTTATTTGAAGACAGCAAAGTCCACATTTTGGACAGAGAGGACTGCTGGTTTGAAAGAGGGGTCAAAGAGGCCATCCGGGTCCAAATTGAACAGCCCCCTCTCAACAGAGGGGGGAGGATACGACATCCTCTATCTCCAATCCTTTCAGCAGTTCCAAGAAGGCCGCATACCCATTCACACTACTGTGGTGACCCTGAGGACAGAGATAAACCTCCAAGTGGCCTCTACGATCCTCTCAAAAGGATGCAAATGACCAGCTCTCTGTAAGGAGCATAAATCCTTCCATTCCCCACCATCCAGTCAGAGCTGAAGAAGCTTCTTGGATGAGAAACAAAACGTCTTCAAAGAAAAACCAAAAAGTCAAGTTGCCTCTTGAAAAAAAAGCACTTTTGGGACAACGATGACCTGGATGACTTGGAAACTCCATAGACTCTTGCTAAGGCATTCTTAATTAACAGGATACCTTTTGTAATACAGATTGCCACTTAGCAACTGTCCTGTTGTGTCCTAGTTGGATTTAATCTAATCTTGTCCTGCCCCACCCAGATCCTGGGGTTCAACCCTTTGATGTTCCTCCTGGGAATAACTGCTACTCCATTGTTATTTAGCTCAGTTTTATATAATATCTGCTTCTATCATATCACAAGACCTAAAATGGACACCTAACATCAAAAACATCATCAAAAAAGCACAACAAAGAATAGTCTTTCTGGCCAACTCAGAAAGCTCAAAGTGCCAAGGAGCTGCTGATCCAGTTCTACAGAGGAATTATTGAATCTGTCATCTGCATCTCTATAACTGTCTGGTTCGGTTCTGCAACCCAACAAGACAGACACAGACTTCAAGAATATAATTAGAATTGCAGAAAAAGCAGTTATTACCAACCTGCCTTCCATCAAGGACTTGTATACTGTACGAGTCAAAAAGAGGTCTGTGAAAATATTTACAGACCCGTCACATCCTGGACATAAACTGTTTCAATTTCTACCCTCAAAACGACGCTATAGAGCACTGCACACCAGAACAACTAAACACAAGGGCAGTTTTTTCCCAAATGCCATCACTCTGCTAAACAAATAATTCCCTCAACACGGTCCAACTATTTACAGGTAGTCTGCAGTACTATTACTATTAATCTTCCCATCACTCCTTATCACCCATCCCCTCCCACTTGTGACCGTATGACTATAACTTGGTCGCTTGTATCCTTACGATCTATACTAACTGTTTCCTAGTATGATTTGATTGTTTATTTTACCCTATGACTATCATTAAGTGTTGTATCTTATGATTCTTGACTCTTGCAAATGTATCTTTTCTTTTACGTATACTGAGAGTATTTACACCAAGACAAATTCTTTGTGTGTCCAACCACACTTGGCCAATAAAGAATTCTATTCTATTCTATTCTATTCTATTCTATTCTATTCTATTCTAT